ACCATTTTGACACCTAAGGGACCCCTAACCTCACCCATTTGCCAACCAAAGACAAAAATACCATCCTCTCTCCTCTCCCACTCATTGTACTCGTCCAGCACCAAGGAAAGAAGTCAAAGGAGATCTGAAACCTCACCTTCCATAGCCAACTCGAGACCAAGCTCAAACACGAAAAAGAAAGAAGTTTGGGGAAGAAAAAAGATAGGAAAAGTGTAAAGAATTAAGGTAATGACCTTATAATAACTTTTCCTCTACTTCTTATCTACCTTATGACTTATATATCATATTAAGGACCCCTAGGATTGTTATACATGTTTAGAAGTGTAGAACAAGGGGTTGGATGGTAGTTCTAAGTCCAAGAACGGACTTAGAATCCAAATGACCGGTTCGCCGGAAAATAACCTTTTAGAGGTTATTTGTGTTGATATGGGTTTTGTGATGATAAAACCTTGTAAGGAGCTTGACTAAGGTGTTCCTAACTATCACCGGAGTATCGCCAGAGTATCGCCGGAGTATCGCCGGAGTTCAACCGAGAAGGGTAGAACTTCTTAAAGCTCATTCGAGGTGAGGGTGGCTGACTATATTGCTTATAATTAGTGATTTAATTTCATGAGATTTCCTAAAGTAATTAAATATGTTTTTCATGGATTGTTAATGATTAATAATGCCTAAGAATGAGAAGACTATTGTCTATAAGGAAAGGAGCATGATATACAAATTTAGGAGTAAATTGTGTATGATCATGTGTCATGATTATGAGTACTTGATAGTGGAATTAACTACGAAGCATATGTTGAAATATACTTTTTTACTTCATATAAGAATATATGAGTGAGTTAAAGTGATATTTTGTATATTGATATAAATGATATTTTCAATGGAAATTCATTTGGAATTGTCTATATGACTATGAATGGAGAACTTGGTTGTTGGAATAAACGTGACTAGTATTAACATACTAGTTGGGCATTAAAGTGAAATGTCGCTAAAATTGATCCTAAGGTTGGGTTGTGAAATGGTATGCCTTAAGTAGTCTTAAGAGATGTTTTAAGGTAGAAATGTATGAACTTTAAGTGATGCTATGGGTAGGCCTTAAGGGATACCCAAGATAAAGTGAATAATAAATTGATCCTAGGTATAGGATTGGCCTACGGGCGTGTTCGGTAGTCCTTGGGGATAGCCGGTTGAATTATGGGAATAAGTAAGGACCATGGCCCTTCCCGACTCTAGAGAGCAGGGTTGGATAGCATGGATTTACATCGTGATCACGGGTTAGGGTGGAATCCGAACGGAGACTTAACTAGGCTCCGACCCCGAAGGACCTTACCTTCCTACGGGATGATGGGTATGAGTCCAGGGGCGGGATGTTGAAATCCGAACCGAGAGCCTTATGAGGTCTCGGACAGCGGTAGCAAATCCCGTAGAAATAATAAGACCCACAGGTTGGGTTGTACAAATGATAAATGCAAAGGAATATGTAATAAGGGCCGTGTGCCGACAAATAAATGAATTTACTTATTATAGAGATAATAAGTGTGAAATATAAATTAATATTTGTATTATGATATCACCCTATTTTGAGGGTCTTAGAAATTAAAGCGTTGATTATACTCGGTATAGTTGTCATTGTACTTGTCAAATTTTCCAAGTACTGACCTCCCCTTCACGGGGGAGGCCACCTCACAGTTTCAGGTAGGAGTTGAAGCTTGCTACCATCGTCCGTTGCTTCGGGGAGATTCAAGAGAGAAGACGTGGTTCGTGCTTCCTCTGTCTGTTTTCAAAATAATTATGATAATGCTCATGGATATTATTTTTGAATAATTAATTGGGGCTTGTATGCCCATGTTTGCCAAGGTGTGGCATAAACACTTGTATTAAATGCTTCTGCTGTTTTAAATGAATGTTTTCCATTATGTTTGTTTATGGATGTACTATGTGTGAATGGTATTCAAGACGCTTTGTATAGTATGGATGTGTTGGACTATGGTTGACTATTCGTACTGTACGGTGGGTTGTTGACGTGTCCGGGTAGGTCTGAGGCGTGTCAATTTAAAGTATGTGAAACAGAATGGCCACAGTGAACTAATCTACGATGTCAAATGGGACCAGACGAAGTGAGAGAAGACAAAGCAAGTTGTGGCGGTGGGCTGAGGTTGACTGGATAAAGATGACCATGACTGGGTGTTTGAAGAAGGACCTTCTCCGAAATTTTGTCCTTAACCGAAAAAGAATTGTTGTCAAAAATTAAACACGTTTGTTAACTCAGTAGATCCGACTTGTTTTTCTGAGGCATATAAATATTTAATTTGGCGTGAGGCTATGTCAGATGAATTTAATGTACTTATTTCTAATAATACTTGGGATTTAGTTTCATTTGATAACTCTAAAAATGTGGTTGGGTCTAAGTGGATTTATAAAACTAAATTTCACTCCGATGGATCTATTGAGCGTCATAGAGCGCGTTTAGTTGCCCAAGATTTTAATCAGCAGGCTGGGGTAGATTTTTCTGAAACCTTTAGTCCAGTGGTTAAACCTATCACGGTTCGTATTGTTCTTACTCTTGCTATTTCTTTTGGGTGGGTTATGCGTCAGTTGGATGTGAAAAATGCATTCCTTCCTGGTCATCTTACTGAAGAAGTTTATATGCGTCAACCGCGGGGCTTTATTCATCCTTAGTTTCTTCATCATGTATGTCGTCTGCGAAAAGCCATTTATGGTCTTACGCAGGCCCCACGGGCTTGGTTTCATCATTTCAGTAGTTTTCTTCTTACTCATAATTTTCTATGTAGTAAGTCTGATAATTCCTTATTTATTTATCATCAGGACCAGTTTGTTATATATTTGTTGTTATATGTTGATGATATTATTATTACTGGTAATTCTCCATATGTTGCATCTTCCTTTATTGATCGCATTGCGTCTCATTTTTCCATGAAGGATCTGGGTGATATCCATTATTTTTTGGGGGTACAAGTTGTTTGAAACTCTAAAGGAGTTTTCCTCTCTCAGCAAAAATATGTGTCCGATCTTCTTCTTCGGTTTCACTCACACACTCTTAAGTCTGTTCGTACACCGGTTGCCACTCGTACCACTCTCTCCCTCACAGATGACGAATTACTAGCTGATGCTACTGAGTATCGTAGTATGGTAGGTGCATTGCAGTATTTAACTTTGACAAGGCATGATATTACTTATGCAGTTCATTTAGTATCGCAGTTTATGCATGCCCCTCATACTACTCACATGCTTGCTATCAAGCACATATTTTGTTATTTACAGGGTACTATTGATCAGGACTCATGGCTTCAGAATTCCGCACGCCCCATATGTATTTTGGCCTACTCCGATGCTGTCCGGATAGCTCTCATTCTACTACAGGCTTTGCTGGTTTCTTGGGTCCTAATTAATCTTGTGTCCTGGAAGTCCAAGAAGCAGCCTACAGTCTCTAAGTCTTCTACGGAGGCAGAATATTGGGCTATTTCTTACACAGTGCAGGACACCTTACACATCCGATCAGTCCTCTTTGAGCTCGGTTTTGCTGTTCAGGTTCCTATACAGCTCTTATGTGATAATATATCTGCCTCCTATCTCACATCCAATCCAGTTCAGCATGCTCGCAGCAAGCATATTCACATTGATTATCATTTTGTTCGTGAGAGAGTTCAGAGTTGCTCATGGTGATCTTGTAGTTAAGTATGTTCCTATACATCTCCAGCTCGTGGATATATATATACTAAAAGTTTATCTAGTCAACAGTTTCAATTTTTAAAAGACAACATGCGCGTTGTATCTCCCGCACAGCTTGAGGGAGTGTAATAATTTATATCACTATTCTAAAAATCTTTCTAGGCACCCGACTAGTCCCCGCCTAGGCGCTAGGCGGTGGCCGGGCGCCCTGACTTTTTTCTAGGCGCTCCGACTAATTGACATCATGAAGAAAGCTACGTATGAAGAAAGCTACTAGTGAGTAACTGAGTTGGTATAATATATCATTAAATGTGGCAACTCTACCATTCATGCATGTTGATGTGTATATGTGTGTGTATATTTTTTATACACACACAAACGCAGCATTACTAATCACATTTATGCAAAAATATTAATAAAACTAAAATTTCTATGTCTCCGACTAGTCCCCGCCTAGGCGCTAGGCGCTGGGCTAGCGCCCGACTAGCGCCTAGCACCTTATAGAACAATGGTTTATATTAATTAGGAATCCTTGTGTATTTTGGCAACTATTATTCTATTATAAATATACCTGTCAGAGCTCCTATTTGGAGCATCCTTCCCATTTTTCACAGATTCTTCTGTTACCTTCGAGCACCACACAAACATGTATATACACACTAGGGCCGGAGGTGATAACATTTATATACATTAAATAATATTAACGTTGAGTCATTAACTTCACTCAATTACTCCCACGTTGAGCAAATTAGGACTCCAAAGTACTCATGGTTTAAAAGTTCATTATTAAACAATGAATTTTAATAGAGAAATGCTATAGGTACCCCAAAATGGGATACCCCATTCTTACCCCAGCCTAATGTCTGGCCATAAATGGGGCGACACATTTAAGTGGCCCCACTTAAATGTGTCACCCCATTTATGGCCAGACATTAGGCTGGGGTAAGAATGGGGTACCCCATTTTGGGGTACCTTAATAGTAGATTGATGGATGAGATGGTAGATTCAAATATGGTAGATTCTATGGTACCCTTAAGGTACCATATCTTTGTCCACGTGGATCAATCATAATGATGCAGTTGAATTATTTAAATCTAAATTAAAAATAATATAATAATTTGGATCAATCAAGTGTATGATAGGTACGGTACTCTATTGTTTAAATGGGTAGCGGTGAAGTTGTCACCTTCATAATTAAGGGGTAATTATTACATTGGTTTTATGGAAGAGTTCACTTTTGACGAGGAAAACTTTTGTCCTTGAAATCCTCTCTAGGCATTCACTTTTTGTAGTTTAAAATCTCGACCGACAGGCTCCCAAACTAATAACTTTGTTTGGTCTTCACCTCTAGCTGTTTGGTGGTGCTTACCTTGCATTTTTCCAGGTGCTATTCAATCATAGTCTACTTTAATTATGCATATATAGATTGAATACTAAATTCGTGTGTTTCTTTCTAGTTCTGATTAATTGATGGAAACTGGACTAATTCCAAAATGTCGTACATTTCTCTTCTCATGTTGTTCTTAGTTTGCATGATTCTAGTTCTGGATATTCAAATTTCTCCGTAAGTACTTTTTTGCCCTTTCCTTGTTGTTTAACGTGCTATGAATCAAGGTGCTTGTATGCTGCATACCAAAAAACATGTCTTTCTTGATATATGACTCCATGATGTTTTATTCCCAATATGATATTCGGATAAGTCATGTCCATACACGTATCTATTTTATTAATTTTAGTTCAACTAGTGCCCTCCTAAATAACGAATGAGTGGAACAGTTATTTGATCCTAAAATTAAGGAATGTATTAATTACTTTGCCCGGATTGCATGAGAACCGAATATTAGCATATTAGTTGATCAGATCAATTGATAACCATTTCGGAGATTTAATTGGCATATTAATCGGAATCCTTAAAATAAGGCTAGGAAATAACGTAAAAAGGCAACTCTTTCCATCGTTACTATTAGTATTATTTTTTTAGAGTAACTATTAGTATTAATTTTAGTAATGTATAAATAAATACTACGTATATACGTATCCTTCTTATACTCATTTTTGTTCTTATCTCCGACGCCGTTACATACTGTTCTGAACACTAACAAGTTTCATTGTCATGGCTTTTTTTTCATCCCTTTTTCTGGTATATACCCATTGACTTTTACTGCCCTCACCCTTTTTCCAGCACACTCTTGTTATTGCCTTTTATCCCATTTTACTTTAAAGCAATATTATTGCCCTCATTTTTTCTATTCTGGAAACCCCTACTTGCGCGAATTACTGCCCTTCTAGTCTGCATTATTGCTTTTACTGATCTAATATCTTCGTTAAACCCAACTAATACCTCTTGCTTGTATGTATTGCCCATCCTTACCTAAGTTATTGTCTTTCTCGTACCGAAGTTAAACTACTGCTATCATTTAATGTCCTACTTTCCACCCCTTCTATTCATTCACAAAATTACAACCCTAAGTACTCTATGGATACTACAGACTATTGTTCGATATTACATATTTCACAATTGATTTCAGTCTGCATCTATTCACATCACAATGCCCTAATAATGCCCGATCACTGTATTAATGTTACTCGCCATCGACGAAGGTCTGATGACCTTCACCACGCTGTCGAGTGTGATTAAATTTGCGTCGGAAGTAGAATTGGTGCCGGCCTTTGCAGTCACTGCCTCCATTTGAATGCTGTCGTCATTCACTGGCGCCAATTCGGCCGTCTTCGTCATCGCCCGTTGCTTTACTTCAAACCCTACTCACAAAATTCAGCCGTCTTCTTTGTACAAGGAAGTTGTTTCCTTCTTGCTCTCTAGAGCATTAATGCTCTGCATTGATTCCCTAAGAAATCGTCGCCTTCCGTTCAAATTTAATTTCCATTTGAGTTTGGATTCTGCACTTATGACTAATGAGGAGGGCAATTTTGTCTTTCAATTTTAAATTATAACCTCACCGTACCAGCATACATACATACCTAGTCATATAATTGGAAATATGAACTTCTAGTCATACTATGGGAAAGTAGACATGTTTTAGTAATACTCTAAAAATTTTCCCTACCAAAAAATGTCAGTTAAAAAAATTCAGTTTTATTATTGAAAATAAATATCGGTTGGAAAATCTAATTAAAAGACAATGAATGTCTAGGAAAGGGAAAAAATTGTGACAAGGCAACAAATGTATTTTTTACAAATTTTCAAATTTTATGCATCAAAGGAATCTATAGATTTAGACTACTGATAAATAGTGTTGATATGGCACAATTTTGCAGACAAAATTTTTGGTATGAAGGTTTTTGAAAATGTGAACAAATAGCATATAATTTTATCTAATCCTAAGTATTTTTGTATGTGTGAGACTATTATTTTCTATAAAATATGTTTTTGAGATTAATTTTTTTGTCGATGGCCCAAGTGTAGAGACAAAAACTTTAGGTGCAAATAATTTTGAAAATGTGCATAAAAAGTTATCTTTTTTACCAAATGTAACAGTTTCAAAGTTACAAAATTAAAAATAAACGGTGTTCGTTCAAATTTAACAGCGAAAATCACATTTATATAAACTCAAAAATTGGGGTAGATATTAATGAGTAAAAGATTAAATAAATGGAAATTACATTTCAATATAAATAATAACTTAGGGATTAAAAGTGTGATTCTCCAAATATAAAAAAATAACAATCCCCTATATTTTTCAAAGATCGAGAAAAAAGAAAGAAAGGGGAAAGAATAAAAAAACAAAACATTGGGATAGCTAAAGGGTGAACAACAAAAGAGAAAACCATGAAAATATCAAAAAACTTGCTATAGTAGGTTGATTTCTGATCAGGGAGTCTATGTGATGTGTTTTAAGCAATAAATTTCATCTATGTGATCGTTTTTTAGTACATGAGCTTAGATGATGGTTTCACAATAGTAGAAGGGCTCATTTGATCCATTTTCCTTCTTTTTGGGTACCATGTGGCGGTGTGAGTGTATATACTACTACGTACATGGCACCAGATATGTATTAGACGTGATAAGTTTCATGTGGAAAGAAGGGTATAAATTAAACATAACTTTTTTGTATATGATTATTGGTATAAATATAACTTAGATTGCCATAAAATATGATTAGTTTTATTTTTTCAAAAAAAGTGAATAAACATGTTTAGTTTTTCAAAAATCCTAACTCTACTTCTATTTCTTCTCCCTCCGTTGTCTACTTCACTACGGTAGCGTATCGACCTACACTTTTAATTGCAAAACTATGGTTGTTTGAGTTGTTTCTCATTTCAAATTAGTGATAATTGAATATGAATTTAATTCTAACTACCTAGATAATGTGAAATGTTTCAATGTTATGAATGGGCAGGAGATAATATATATAGGGGAGGGTTCCGGTGAGAATGGAATCCCAGGAGAGAAGTGAGAATGAAATCTGATGACCTTCCATCCTCTCAATCTAATGGCCTAGAAATTGTAGAAAAAGAGCCATGTAATTCGGACTAATCAAATTGTAAAAAGGCAAGATACCCTTGGTATTAATTAATGGGTACAATGGTAAAATTAATTAGACTAGTTATCATGCACGAGTGATCTAAATAGGAAGTGATCCTACTTTTTAGGATAACCATTAATACGGAAGTAACTCCCACACAATTAGCAAGATTAGTTCTTATAAATGTTTCTTTATTATTTAATTCTCTTTCCATTTTTTAATTCTCACTCATATAATTTGAATAGTCAATTGGGAAAAATATATTTAAAATGGGCATCATTATTCATGTCATATCTGTTTATTTTTATATGCAATATTCTCATAGTGCAATCAATATGAGTTTGTTGATTTGCACTCCAATATTAAATAATTGCACTTTTATTCGCAATATTATGTAAATGAGTTATTTTTTTTATTTTTTTTTTGAAAAAACTCTTTGTAAGCACTTTTTTTAAATGCACTTTTTTTTAAAATCAACACCATTCATCAACAAACAAAATTTAAAGAGAAATAGCATCTTTATTGTACTAATTTGCACTTTGTAATTAAATTGCACATTTATGACATTGGCTTGCACTTACTATGATAGTTACTGCACTTTACGCATACCATTGTGCACTTCCATACATCTCTCTAATCAAATTGATTTCAAAAAATGAAAATAAATAAACACGGGTGTAAAAAAACATGAGCATGCTATCATGTGCATTTAAGTGTACAAAAGTGCACTAGTATACCAAACTTTCTTAAATTTTACAATAATACTTTTACCCAAAATGAAATGCACTTTAAACACGAGCATTTAAATATAAAGAGGGGTGCATTATTGTTTCACATTTTCTAAAATTTTAAACGGGCTTTGCAGTGCAGTTATAATACAAAAGAGGTGCAACATACACAGTTATGTTGATGCAATTTTTAAATAAAATATAAAGCATAATAATAAATGGAAATGCATTGTAAAACAAAGTAGAAGATTTATTTTAAATAAAGTGATAAAATGATCAAGTTTTTTTTACAAAAAATGAAAAACGGATATCTTCCTCCGTGACACCGAACTTGAGAATGATGAGGGTATGGAAGAATCAAATAAGATAAAAGAAATTTGATAAAAACTCAGTTAAGAATCATAAATCAATAAAAGCAAATAGGATGATTGGTCATGCAAGATTATAGGGAGTTAGTTATGGAAACAATTTCAAGACTGTAGAGAAGTAACCATGTGATTTTAATATGTTGCCAATTTCTCTTATTTGCCCTTAATGAAGTGCTAAGAAAATCCTAGATCCAATGGCTATAAATTATTCTCATTTCTCTCATAAGATGATTTTCTCACATGAACCTATATATATATATATATATATTAAATTTTGTAATGTTTAATATTAATAAATACACCCCATAATTTTTGACTATAATTTGTCTTACTTATAAAAGAATAAAATTATGGCTAAGAGTCCTATTTTAGAATTACAAAATGTTTTAAATCCTCTGTTGAGAATATTTCCTTCAGCTTTTCAGCTTTAAAATTACTGGTTAGACGCTGTCAATACGACTGTTGAATGAATTCAAATTATCTCAAAAACGATTTAAAAAAATGTTATAGCACAATTTTCAAATTTAATGTAGGAATATAATATGCATTATATTCATGCAGGTGATTAAGAAATAAGAATGGAACCATCATTATCACCCACACTTGTTATTTATTGCCTCCTCATCATCATCCAAGGAGCGGTTTCAGACTTGAAGGCAGACAGAGAAGTCCTTCTAGACTTCGCTTCCGCAGTCGGCGGGGAGACACGGAGGTGGAGCATCGGCAGGGAGGCCCCAATATGTAACGGGTCTTATTGGGTGGGCGTGAAATGCAACCCGGAAGGGAGCCGTGTAGCGGAGCTCCTCCTGCCGGGGATGGGACTGAGCGGGGAAATGCCGGAAAACACCATAGAACGACTGGATGCGCTCAGGGCTCTGAACCTGGAGAATAACTCTCTAATGGGATCTCTGCCGCCCGACCTGAACCTCCCTCACCTCCGACACTTGAACCTCAGCAACAACCACTTTGGTGGCTCCATTCCAACATCACTCGCAGGATTTCCTCCTTCCTCTTTTGCAGGGAACGTTTTGCTATGTGGCCCGCCCCTACTAAATCATCAATGCCGCCCACTTCACCGCATTCTCAATTCCAAGTCATCGTCCTCGCTCTCCAAGTGCAAACCCAAACACTCAAAGAAATGCAAGAAACAGAAGTACATAGTTTACAGCGGCGTCGCTGCTGGAGGTGTCGGCGCTGTGTGTATATGCATATGCGTATGCATATGCGTACGTCGTAAATCTAGATAATGCTGCGGGAAAGAGTAAAGGAGGTTGGGACTCCCTTCAATATTCATGAAATCATGTCATTCATAGATATGACCTTTACTTATTTCAGTGTATTCTCTCCCTAACACTCTCTTACTTCAAAGCGTGCTTTTATTACCCATTATGAATTATATATTTCTTTGAGGAAATTACCAAAATACGGGATTCTTAAGCGAATGCAAAATACATTCCAATCAACACAATTTTCTCATAATCAAACATACTATGGATTATGGATTAGAAAGTACCTTTCACATTTTCGGATCCAACCTCTAGCGTTTTCACCATTAAAATGGGGAAAGTCTAGTTTAATACCACGTTGATGTCCTGGTGTAGAAATCAACCCTGAATCTTGCCTGCAAGGAGATGTTCCTGATGGAGGTTACTGTTGATTCCTTTGACTGCTGCTATAACTTCTTCGAATCGTCTCTCATTCAATACTGTGAGCTTTGCGAAATCTGTCCTCTGAACTTCATTGAGCTTTTCAACCTCCTGTCGTATACCGGCCAAGTCTGCTTCTAATTGAGTAATATGAGCTGTATTACTCATCTTTGCCATGGATGAGAAAGTGTCTCTGATTCTGATGGATAGTCTACCCGGGGTATATATCCGAGGGGTTATTGCTGAGAATAACTCAGAGAGAAGTTAGAGCAAAAGTAAGTAAGAGAGAGAGTGTATTCAGTCTGAATGTTGTGGTTACAAATGGGGAAATGGGGTGCTATTTATAGTAGCAATAAATGCCGGACAGGGACACGTGTCAAGCGTCCATTGGCCGAGAGGTCACCTCAACTGGTTGGCGTTGGCAGCCGCATGTGGCCGCATTTAATGCGGCTGTTGGATGTGACGTCTGTACAGGGTACGGTGATCTGTACGCATGTGAGGCGGATATCATGTCGGGAGAGGTGCCTTCGGCTATAGAGCAGCAGCCGAGGGCTGCTCAAACCGATGGCACCCTGGTGCCGAGGGCTCCTGGTGTCGAGGGCTACTGTTTTTGCCGTTTTCTCCCAGTTTCTTAGTTTGTTTGAGAACCCCGTTCTATGAGAGTTTAGAGCCTTCGGCCAGGGGGCCGAAGGCACCCCTGACGCGTAGTGCGAGCTGATTGGTACTCTGGGCGCTATGATTTGGGCCTGTTGAGCTTTCTGGACCTGTTGGCCTTTGCTGGAGTAGTAGGAGTCTGTGGGCCGGGGATTCCCGGGCCATATACTCCATCAGATACCAAATTGTTATGAATGCAAACAGAGAAGAAAACATTCACAACAGTAGGAAGTAATGACAGAAGAGAAAGAACAAATGAACGAGAGAGAAGATCAGTATCATTCAAGCTTAATCCCTTCGTACAGTTACAGCTCATTTTATACTACTCTAACGACTAACTACCTAGACGTGGTTGTAACAGTTTTTAAGCTAACATGAATATACAGTCAGTTTTTTAAAGAAGAATATCGAAGGCTTAATGGTAACAGAGTTTTTTCCTGCCCAAACTTCCATTCATGTATATGAACCGAATGACACCTAAGTTTTCTGCAAACATTAAAAATAAGCTTTAAAAAGTGTTAGGAATTGGGCTTAATCTATGTTGCACGGAAACGTGAAAATCATAAGGAAACGGGAAACGGGAAACGTCAACTTTTGCTCAAAAAATGCTTATTTGGAGAGTTTCCAAAGAGTTTCCGAGAGTTTCCGAAACGGGAAACGTACTCTTTCCCAAGAGTTTCCGTGCTACATAGAGCTTAATAGACTGTTGGGAATTGGGCCTAATAGACTAAGAATAATAATAAGTGTATCAGTTAGTATAAATAGACTAAACTAGGGAGAAGTCAGGAGGCTGTTTAGATATTTTAATCTGGTATTTTGGGAAGATCGAGAACTTTCTCTTTCTTTTGGGGGGCTACGGCTCATTGGGGGCTTCGGCCATTGTTACGGAACTGTTCTTCTTCAATAAGATTTCATTTGTGTTGCTTAATATCTTCTGTGAATTTTCTGTACATCGGGAGCTTGTTCTATCAAAAAGTATGAGTTGTTTTTGAATCCGTTGGAATACTTTAACACATCCATTCATGTTACTACTTTGATGGTTGTCGCCCTGACACCCCATTGCAAGTTAGGGATGGACTGGGACGGGTCGGTCCGACCTGGACCCTGTACTTTTTAGGCCCGGCCCGCTAATATATAGGCCTGTCCCGGCCCGGTCTCGGGCCAGTGGCTATAAGGGCGTGCTTCGAGCTCGTTTTTTGGGCCCGGGCCCGATTGCACTATTTTATTAATTTATTGCCCATTCATGTCCCGTTGCCCGGCCCGACCAAGTACTGTTTAGGCTCAGCCAGGCCCGGACCCGGTACAAACCCGGTACCGGACTTGAAATTTTTAGGCTCGAGCCCGCCCAGTCCCATCCCGCAGCCTGGCCAGACCCGGTCCCAGTCCATCCCTATTGCAAGTTAACTCATTCTTATGAAAGAATAACGGGATATAAAAAAGTTGACTAAAATTATAGACCAAGTGTACAAAGGCATTTACACACGAAAAACATCTATGGAGCTTACCTTATATTAAGGGGAAAGACAAATCTCATCTTGTTTATATTATCATCGTTATTATTATTAATATTAAAATGCAGAAGAATTCCTGGAACGCCCATCTTCGAGTTGTTTGGTGTTTCGGTTGAGCAAATGCTTGATTTCAGCGTCCCTTTTATCAACAAAATCTATAAGGCCTTTAAAGCAACTGGAGCGTGCAGAGGGTTCAGGTTGTTGACTCACTTCCTCAGGGGTATACCTCCTCTACTGCAAGCACACCCTGCAAGAGAACACTGCAAGTGCGAAAAAACAGGCAATGCCGCACATTAGAAACAGCCCCCAGAAGCTCTTCAGAGAAAGCGATCTGTCATTATCCACTGCCAGTGGGGAGTCCCTCTCAAATGCCTGCTCACCAAACTACTATTTCATTAGTTTTTTCATGCCATAATAAATACATTGTTAAGAAGACATACACTAGAATTCTATCAATGCATGGCTTAGGTGTTAGACACAATGCTTAGATTTGTAGAAAATGAAATTGCTTAATTAATTACAAGACACAGTTTTCCCAGTGATATTCAAGAAAGGATTTTGTTCAGTATAACACCACAATTGGGCTGCCAAACACTCGTGGCTGAATTTCTTTTAGACCCACCCAAATCACCCAACACAATCAATGACAAACACTATCAAGAATAAAACAATGGACTGCTGGGCTTGCATTGGACTGTTTTTCTACAGCTTTTGGGCCTATCTTATATTTTATTGGGCCTTTAGTTATTTGTTGTTATTTTTATGTATTAGGTATAAATACCTACAATTTTGTTGTAATTAGGTTAAGCGTTCACTTCTATTCATTTTTTCTTCTTCTTCCGCAATCTTCATCAAAGGTTCTGAATATACGAATTCGTTTTCTTCCTTGATTCCTGAATTCATACTTTCACATGGTATCAGATTAGGATTCGATCCTTCTTCGTCCTACTGATATTACTCTTCTCTTTCGATTTCTATAATCGAATTCCTCTTCTCCTCTGCAATATATCGATCCCAAAACCCTAATCGCAATTTTTTTTGCGATGAATCAATCAAACTCTTCCTTAAATCCGATTGAGGATCCGTCGTCTCCATATTACTTACATCCTAGTGATCATGCCGGGCTGCGAATAATCTCTGAAACTCTTACTGGCGACAACTACAACGCTTGGAAGAAATCTGTTGATATGGCGTTCAGTGTGAAGAACAAAATGGTCTTCATTGATGGCTCTATTGCTCAACCACAACCTGATGATTCTGTGACCTACTCAGTTTGGTATCGTATAAATGCTCTTTTACTCTCTTGGTTGATTTATTCTATTTCTCCTGATATCCGTTCCACTTTTCTATACTTTACTTCTGCTAAAGATCTTTGGGACGAAATTAAGCTTAGGTATGGTAAAAGTAATGGACCTAGGGTTTTCTATCTTGAAAAATCCTTAGGAAATATTTCTCAAGGAACTCAGACTATTACTGCCTATTACAATATGTTCAAAGGACTTTGGGACGAATACGTTGAATTTAAAACTCTTCCTCTCTGTTCTTGTGGTCTTTGTACCTGTCAACTCAATAAAAAATTTCAATTGTTACTTGAGAAAGAATCTGTGCAGAAATTTCTTGTTGGTTTGAATGAGTCATACTCTATTTTAAGAAGTCAAATTCTTCTTCAAACTCCTTTTCCTACACTCTCTGTTGTTTACTCCTTCTTTCTTCAAGAAGAGTCTCAAAGAATACTTCAACATCCTCTTCATTCTATTCCTTTCCATTCTGATACTCCTAATACCTATGATTCTTCCACTGACTCCACTGCCTTTCTAGTCAAAAATCCAAACTACAAAAAGAAATCTATCACTTGTACTCATTGTGGTTATCAAGGCCACTATGCTGACAAATGCTTCCAAGTTATTGGCTACCCCCCTAACTGGAAAGGACCTAAAGGATAAAGAATTGCTCCTGGATTCAAACTGCCATCCACTACTAAGAATACTCAAGCTCATTTAGCCAACACAAGTACTGATTCTCCTTCTGATGACATGGAGCTTTGTGATCCTACACTCTACAATAAATTTCTTGAGTTTATGAAAACTCAGAATACTAATTCTGCTACTGCTCATGTTGCTATGGCTGTTCCACAACATGATCAACCTTCTAATGATTCTCCTTTTCTAGGTACTCATTCTGCTTTTCTATCTACTGTCACTACTTCTATTTGGATTCTTGATACTGGTGCCTCTGATCATATGACTCACAATTTTAGTTTATATACAACATCACCTAAAATTACTTCTATTAATGTTCAATTACCTACTGGTTCCTTTATCACTGCTACTCATATTGGTGACATAAAAGTAAATGATAATCTCACTCTCCACAATGTTGTATATGTCCCACAGTTTAATTTTAATCTTATTTCTATCAGTAATTTAGTTTTACATGAAAATATTTCTGTTCACTTCTCTTCTAATCATGTTACTTTGCAGGATCTGCTCACCAACCAAATGATTGGCTATGCTGATCTTCAACATGGACTTTATCTTTACAATTCTTCTAATTCTGTTCTCACACCTACT